ACCTGTAATCCCAGCGCTTGGGAGGCTGAAAACAGAAGAATCACTATGAGTTCAAGCTGTGTAATGAGACCCTATAGACACTGTACTAAATACATTTAAAAAAATTGATAAAAATCAGACCCAAAGTCAAAGACCAAACCACAAATAGGCTTCTGAGATAAATACACACTTCTCAAATGAAGAAATACAAATAGCAAGCAAATATATGAAAAAATGTTCAGCGTTGTTAGTCATTTGAGAAATGCAAATTAAAATAACACTGAGATTCCAATTCACCCCAGAAAGAATTGCTATCATCAAGAAATCAACTAATAACAACTAACAACCAAGTGGTAAAGGGACTATGGGAAAAAAGGAACCCTTCTCTGTTGATGGTAGCAACGTAGAATAATGCAATTGCTTCGCTATGAATGTCAGCATGGAGGTTCCTCAAAAAACTAGGATGAAAAGGTCCCATTTAATCCAGTTATTCCTCTTTTCTGGGTATTTCCCAGAAAAATTAAAAACATCATACCACAGTGATGTGTATGTACCCATATTTTTATAGCAGCACACTCTGGGAAACAACCCAAATACCCATTAACCAAGAAATGGATAAATGGATGTGGTATTTATATACAATAGCCATAAAGTGATAAACTTGAGACATTTATAGGGAAATAGATGTGACTATCCGTGTTATAAATTAATCTTCCACGTGTAAACATTGTATTGTCTCCCTAGTATAAGAAGCTGAAAAGTAAATCAGACCCAAAATGTACAATGGATTTTGTGACATGGAAAGGAAATGCTCAAAAGAAGAGAGAAACTAGAAGAAAGGAGAAAAGAAGAAAATGAAAAATAGATGAATCAATATATACATGTGTATATATTATACACATAATATGTGTACAATGTACACGTAGATACATGTACACACACAAAATATTTATACTACTAGTTGCTATTAGCTCATTGAAAGGAAAGATACATGCCTAAATTTATCAGTTTTTCATGCCTGTAGCTTACAGTATGAGCAACTTCTTTGAAGATAACAAC